TAAAATTTAACCGTGAATGCAAATTTATTGATTCTTTGCTGTCTTTCTCGTTATTTTGGTAGTTTTCCTGGTTCTTTTTAAGATAAAGTCTGTTTGAAGTTACCACAAATAGTCCGTCCGAAAAATTTAATCAAGTGCTCTTTTCCCTCGTGGCTTTCTAGGTGGAAGTTTTCTCGCGTAGTCAAAGTTCGACTAAAAATTATGAATCTGGCGGCCATGTTTGGAATTCAAAGGGAACCACAGGAACCTTCGAAATAGGAAATGCTGATAACGTCTCTCCTGGTACGAAAATAGTCCTGCATCTCAAGGAAGACGCGGCCGACTTTTGCAAGCAGTCAGTTGTTGAGTCTATCATTCGAAAATACAGTAACTTCATTGGGGTGCCCGTGTTTCTTAATGGCAAACAGCAAAACGTCGTCGAACCTCTCTGGTGTAAGGACCCTTCTAAGGTAAGCACCACCTTTTAACAAAATACTTCTGTGGTGTCTGATGCAGCACAATCTTCATCTGCCTATCTCAAGTGAACAGAACAATAGCCTAGTTTCTTGAGCATAAATACTTCTGTTGTTATATTACCCTTCATCTTAAACTAAGAGAACAGCATTTTCATAAATTCGTTTCATAAATTTTACTGTTAGTCCGGTTGTGTAAACTGGATTTAAAAGTAGTACAGATAATTTCCTTAGGGCAATCTCTAGTTGGGAATTCATTCTCACGAATAGGGTATCGGTAAAGAAGCTCTTGTTCCCGTATTTTCAGTCCACAAAACGGAAATATGCCTTTCTTATCTGCCTGTCTTCGTCAACTAGCCACCTGTCAGCCCTGTCTCTTCTTTTATTAAACGTTAAATTAGAAACTACAAGTGGACACACATTCATCTTTATTTATTTAGTGATTGGAGTAGCGGATTTCCTTACTGATTTAATTACAAATCGCCCCTTTTTGCCTTGGACCTGCATCCCACGTCCTCGTTGGCAAGCACAGCAACAACAGCTAAAGAAATAGCACCAAAGACGAAGAAGGTTGAAAAGACACTTTTTAACTAGAGCGATGAAAGACCATCTAGCGGCCTTCCTGCTAGTAAAATCTGATTTACTTATCGATGCTCTGCTGTAAAAAAGTCATTTGACTTTAGTCAAAAGGAAATTGTTTAACTTAGAAATCGGTTTTTTAGGGTAGTCTGCGCGCAGTAGCCTTTGTGTGTTTTCTTATATACGTTCATTAGAATGTCAACGTTTTTGGTTCGCCTGTTCTTTTTCCCTTTATTCTGTTATTCATTTTCTCTCGTGTTCATGCCTTGTTTTGTGTTTCCGACCGTCTTAACGATCATGCTTCCCTTTTCAACCAAAATGCGTGAAGGTCACTGAGGAGGAGTACGCTTCTTTCTACCGATTCCTTTCTGGAAATGCTTACGATTCGCCACGTTATCGAACGACCTTCCAGACAGACTCCCCGATAAACTTAAGAGCACTGCTTTTTGTCCCCTCCATGAAACCTACCATTTTCGAAATGGCAAAGGATGGGGAAGCTGGAATTTCACTCTACAGTCGAAAAGTGAGTTTGCTGTCGGTTTATATTCATGAATTTATCTTTTTATTTAAAGTCCTTATTAACACTTCACTTCGTGTCATCTTATGTTACAAATGTACGGCGAATACTCCTCTAGTAAAGTATAATAGGCATTGATTTGTCCGAAGGGGACGTTCCTTGCATTTTGGTCCATCCACGATTTTGATAATTTCTCAAAACTCGATATACGGTGGCCAACGTATGTACTCTCTACAGTCTGTTTCACTGGTGGGTCGACACCTGAAGCCCACGATAGTTTGTAGTATTGTGTCCAAATATTTTTCGTAAGAAAAACGCTCGACGCAGAACGGGAGGTGTGTGATTTGATAATATAGAAGCAGGTAAATGGCGGTCTCCTCCCTTTCATGTTGAATTGGCTCGAATTTCGAGGGACCGAGCCGTCTCTGAGCTGATTAGTACAACCTAATTCTCAATCGGTTCAGATTTCTGCAGTAGCCCAGGCCTTGGATATTTTTTAATTTCTCCCTTTTTGAGCAGGGCTTACAGACTTAATTTCCCCTACAACGGCATACTCATTATAACACTGCAAAATTACCCAAGTTTATTCAGAAGAGATAGTTATAATTTTAGACGGGTTTCTACCTCTCTACACTTAAAAAAACAGTAAGTTCCAAACTCAGGTATATAGGTTGAGCACGATGCAATGTTCTTCGTTAACTGCGTGAATAAATGCTGCGGAATACGCCGCCAAGAGCAGCTATGTTAACTAACACTTCGGCTGAGCACAGTATTACGTTTTCGGCCAACAGTACACTCCATCTTATTATCCCCTACTAATGACTATGGTTGCAGTCAACATGGTGCACGTTTCCATTTTAGGTTCTCCTCATGAGCAAGGCTGAAAAACTTCTGCCCAGATGGCTACGCTTCATTAGAGGCGTTGTAGACAGCGAAGATATCCCTCTAAATTTGAGTCGTGAACTGCTTCAGGATCACGGACTTATTCATCGAATTAATCGTATTTTGACGGCCCGAATTCTGCGCTCTCTCCTTGTGAGTTTTCTTACCTAAATGCAAGTTTGATACGTTTTGCTCTGCTCACTGCACCACGACACAATTCC